TATTCGACATTCGAACACTGCTATTTGTTGAGTCAACTTAAAAAACTTTGTTACCCCGCTGCCTTAAATTTTTTATCTTAATTGTTTTTTTTTCCCGATGTGATGCAAACATGAAAACATGCGTTTTTTGAGTTTAAACAAGTTATACTAGTTCATTCAACTTTCATCTTAGTTGAGGGCCAATTAACTTAAATGTTCTTGTTGCCTGGACAATTTATAAAAAAATGTATGTCTACAAAAAAAAAAAAAAAATACAGTGAACATTATTTTTACGGCATTTAATAATCTTATGTTAATTTATACATCTACTAATGCATTTTTTTTTTTTGTATAGTTAAGTTAAAGTTGTATAAATTAACTTTAGTTAATGCATTATGAATCAACATGAATTAATAACAATAGTATTTTTTTTTTTTTAATTAACATTAATCTAGATCAGTGGTCACCAACCTTTTTAAGCCCAAGATCCCTGACCTCGGCCTTTATGAAAGACAAGATCTACCTTTTAAAGAATTGATAGAAAAAGACAGCCCATATTGTACTTCCAATTTGAGGCCTTTTATTTAGTATTTTAATTGGCCAATCATGGCCAATTTAGATCCTGATTTTTTATTATTTTGTTAACTAGCAAATTGGCCGATTTTGATACTGGCTGCTGATTGTTCTTTCTTTATTTTTTAAGCAAATTTGTTCATTGGTTATTTGCTCTGTAACAAGCAAACTGGCCTCAAACAAAAATATCTGTAAGCATTTGAAATTAAAGGCAACCACTGCATTTTAATCACAATCCAAACAAAGATACACATGTTGCATGAGCAGTTGTTTTTTGATTAGAATTGGATTGTATCATTTTAAGATTTAAAGCAAAAACAGAACGGCCTGACTTTAGCTTTGTGAAATTATGCTACATAAATCATATCTGCATGAAACAAATTCAGCAGAAGGTCTGAATCAACAATATATACTTTTAACAATATATAGCCAACAATATATATTTTATTTAAATACGCAACTTTATTAAAAACAATGTATATGAAAAACCTTTATATTTATGTTTTTGTAATACATTTTTAAACGGATGTCTATCTTTTATATTTAATATAATATCAACATGTATTGACATGTTTTAGGATGGTTATACATGCACAAGACATATATGTCCATGCACATACACAAACATGGATATATATGTTAATATATGAAATTGTTGCAATTTTTAAATAGGTTTCATATATCTTTTTATTTCAGATGACAATATATTTCATATAGGCTATGCAAATATGTGCATATATTACATTTCCGTATGGGAAACTCCATGCTTTGTTTGTTCAGAAAATGCAAAAGTCTGCTTTTAGCATCCAAACTGCATCCGAAAAACGAGTACAATCTGAGTAGGTACTGTATTTGATACTTCACAACCATTTAGAGAGTATGTTTCTTATAGGATGCATGCATACAAATGCCAGTTTGAAAGGCAGTCGAGCAGTTCTATTCTTCTTTATTATTTTCCAATTTCTTTTTTAATTTCTCCTTTCATGAAAAGGTACGAGCAAGGCCAAATAGAGCCCTAATAAAGAGGCAAATTGTGATCCTAATGCATGCATTGTTTTTGTCCACTGGAACAATGTGGCATAATGGAACAAATGTCTGAATTTTGTGCCGAAAATGAAGCCACATGTTTGGATGATTACTGTGGGAAAAACTTGAAAGAGGCTTAATTGTATTGTATACATATGGTAATTATGATGATAAGAGAGTGATAACTGTGCAACGCATCAGAAAACAGCTTCCTCTTTTTTTAGTTCTCAGCCGAAGCCACTCAGCCTCAAAGAAAGATACCACAGTATGATATGAGACCAGCTATAAGTATTACAAATGCAAGTATTAAACCACAGCTGATCTTATGAAACACAAAATAACAAGCAATCAAACTTTCGTCTGAACTCCGAAAAGGAAACGTGACTAGCTAAAGGTGGTCTTGGTTTTTCAACGACATATTTAGCATTTATGTGTCAGATTGAAACTCAACTGGTGGTTGTTCAAAAGCCGTAATGACCTTTAAGAAAAGACTGAGTTGCTCTGAAATCTGTCAGGATTGCCAACAAGCTAAACTTCTGTACTTCACAGTCAATCAGCTCTAGCATCATGCTAATAACCCGCCGCGGTGGAAAAACCCCAGCTTCACGTGCTCTTGGACATCTCGAAGGTATGGCAGCGCTGGATAAAGGTTAAAACAACTGTCATGTTAAATTAGCATGTTTCACTTCACAAATGAGCTAACAAAGCAGTTTTTCAACAGCCGTTTAACCTCATTTTGATACTTTCTGTATGCTAAGCTTTTTTGATGCTGTGAAAAGTTTTGTGTATTTGTGGCACGTAAGATCAGTGACCTTTCGCTGGTTTTAACATCTAGTTTTATGATTAAATAGTGGAACGATTGGTATAGCAGTGTTTGTAGTTATTTTAGAGATCAGAAAATTAACCGGTTTGACCCAGATAATAAAAATAGTTTTATTTATGTAATTGTTTATTTATTTATTTACATTTTAACTTGTGCATATTTAATTTATTTAATTAGTTTATTGTGTTTCGATCCTGTGCATTATTGACAGCTACTTTTGCATTTATTTTATTTTATAGATAACTTTCATAGTTTTATACTGTACGTTGTCAAAAACGTTTTGATTAATATCTAATCAATCAATTGATTTAAAAAAAAACTGTGTTTATTGTAAGTAAAATATATGAAAATAGCTTCTAAGGGGCTAAAAGTAAATCTCTGACCTGTAAAACACAATTCTATTTTAAGTTTGAACAAATCAAAACATGTTAGCATCTTGTTTTTGTACATTTTCTATTAATTAATTAAGTATTTTACATTTTTGACACTGTGTTTTTATTGTATGTAGTACTTAAAACCAAATATATAAAAATAAGTTCTAAAGCACAAAAGTAGATTTCTTACACTGTACAACACAACTCTATTTACATTTGTTTTAATGAGCGTTTAATATGCAACAAACAAACGTTTAGCTTTAACAAATCAAAACATGTTAGCATCTTGTTTTTGTGCAGTCCTGACACCTGAAACTGAAATTAGCAGACGATAAGCATGTCAAAATATGCCAAGTGTGAAAACCAAACAGGCATATGATTTCTTTTTTAGGCCTGAGCTGCACTAAGGTGTGAACTAAATGATGCAAGAAATATCACCGCTGCTTTTATTGACTGTAAAACCTGCACAAGGTGTGGTTCGCGAATAGAAACTTTCATTATGAACTCAGTGCTCGGCATCAAAGAAACAACATTACCCATGCTAAACTCCATCTAAAACAGCACTTTATCCTTCTTTCATCATGTTTATGTGTGCAATTTATAGTTTTAATTGTTACATTATGTGAACACGTATAGCTTTTTAATGCATAAAGCTAAAATGTGATTAAAAACCTAAAATCGGGGATTCTGCGGCTCTTAAAAAGTCCTAATTCCAAAAATGAAGGCCTTAAAAGGTCTTAAATCAGAGCTGAAGCCCTTGTAAAAAAGCAATATAATTAAAATACATTTATTTCATACTTAGTATAGTTCAAATCTATTAACATATTTACTGACATATCGCTCGAGACTTACTGAAATAAAAATTATAATTCAACTTTATTTGGAGTACTACTTGTGCGCAATTAATATTTCTTAATATATAGACTAAAATGTGTTTTAATGTCACTATTGATGAGGACTGTAGGATCTTAATATAATTTCGGCCTTTAAATGCAAGATATTTAAAGTGTACCTGAAGTATGCTTGCAATAGTTCCACTTTAGCACAATTAAATATACTTCAGTATATCTTTAGTTGGACTTCCTCACAATTAAAGTGCATTAAGCACAAAATTAGTTGTCCCATAGCAGACTTTAAGCATACCAGTTTAGTACCAAAAGAACAATTGCAGGATATTTGTATAATTCAACTTTATTTGGAGTACTACTTGTGCGCAATGAATATTTCTTAATATATAGACTAAAATGTGTTTTAATGTCACTATTGATGAGGACTGTAGGATCTTAATATAATATCGGCCTTTAAATGCAAGATATTTAAAGTGTACCTGAAGTATGCTTGCAATAGTTCCACTTTAGCACAATTAAATATACTTCAGTATATCTTTAGTTGGACTTCCTCACAATTAAAGTGCATTAAGCACAAAATTAGTTGTCCCATAGCAGACTTTAAGCATACCAGTTTAGTACCAAAAGAACAATTGCAGGATATTTGTATTAAGCACATAGATATGTAAATCTATTAGTACAAAATATTTCAAATATATTTTAGTATGTTTTTTTTTTTTTTTACTAGGGTATCTTTATGTAATTTTACTTTTATCTTGATTTGAGAATCTTTGCACATTTGCACTGGAAAACAAGACAAGAATACTAAAGAATACGTCACTTTTTTGCAGTGTGATCAGAAGATACAGTAAAAATTATTTCCATATTGTAGTATTTGGGAGCCGAACTGATAAAGCTTTAAGCTATTTTTTTTTTTTAATTAAAAGGTAATGTCGATCTATAGGAAGTTGCATTTTCAAATTTGTAAACCTTTACAATTAGATAACATATTGATGTATTGTTTTCCCTTAATTTTTTTATTTTTTTTAAACTTGGTCTTAAAAGTTCTTATTTTGCCCTTCCACAAGTTAAGGCCTTAAACAGAAAGTTGTAAATTCATTCAGTCATGTTGCATGCATCACAAAAAAATGTATGTCTTCCTTATAATTTTTTATAGTATTTTTTATTTTCCAGTAAAAATATCTGAAAAATCAAGATTCTCGAGATGCAAAATCAAGATATGGAGTCTTGTTTACTGAGAAACTGAAGTTTATGCATAAAACAAGAACAAATGAATACTTCAGATGCAAAAATAAAAATAAAAAGTGCGTCTGAGATTTTTCTTTTAAATGAGTATTTTTATCAGGCTCCTATGAGAATAACATTGCACATTTTTGAAAATAAAGCATTCGATAACTGACTAATAACCTTTTCTTTGGCATTAAAGTGAAATTACTGAACCTAAACATAGGAGCCTGATAAAAAAAGCTCATTTAAAAGAAAAATTATGAAGTTTTCAAATATCTGTGAGTGTGGTGTGAAAACGTGTTGTTCTTTTTTTTTTAATCATAAACTCAATTTTTCAGAAAACAAGACTTATGTCATTTTCCATCTTGATTCGTGAATATTTGCACTGGAAAACAAGACAAATATACATATATATATATATATTTTTTTTTTTTTGTTGTTATTATTATTTTTTTCAATGTGATTATTGTAAAATGAATTAAAAAGTAATGCAAATCTGTAGAAAGCTGTATTTTCAAACTTTTAGACATTGACATTTAGATATTTAATATTAGATATTAAATATTAAATATTGAGCTATTTTGTTCCCTTCCAATTATTCCTTACATTTTATTCACTTGGCCTTGAAAAGTCTTAAATTAACCTTCATAAAAACCTACAGAAATCCTGTAAAATATAAACGTTCCCTTGCACATTCATATAAACTGGAAGATAAAATGTTATGTATTTATATGTATTTATACCATCAGACTTTTTGACAGCATATCCGTCTAAATAAGCCTCTCCTTAAACGTCTCGGGCAGAACTGTAGCTAACGACGTTGAGTCTTGAGTCTTTAAGTAAAACTACATTTCCTCTTGAATTAAAAAGAAAATCCGGCAGATAGTGCCCTGCGCTTTAAAATGAAATTAAAAGTGCAGTCTTTGATGTTTTCTCCTCTCCTTCCTCTTTTTTTAAAGCGTGCACATTTTCTCCCTCTCTTTTCCATGCTTTTCTCTTTGGCTTCTTCCAAATTGCCAACCATCTGTGGGTATGTGATACTTCTCTTCAGTACAATGAGTCTGGGCAGGGAGGCAGTGTTTCCCATAATCCTGCAATTCATTCAACTCTCACATCATATCATGCAAATGTGGCTTGCTGTCTCAGGACCCTGCAATCCTGTTCCAAGCGTATGCCTGAGCCTTGTGCGATACAACACATTTATTATGCATGCATTGCACTAGGCTTATGGTAATAAGGTATTAAATTAGTGCTGGACATTATTGCTCCCCCAGATCATTTCTGTTTCAGAGATTTCTCATAAAAGACATTGGATGTGAAGGGAAACAGATTGGAAGCCAGATGAGGTGACGTTCACGTTTCCGTTGCTTGATTTGACGTTTCGCAGCTCTTCTCTTTTAGGGTTTTAAGCATTGGTTTGGACAAACAGTCGCAGTGGAATTTTCATCTGCTAAATCGATGTGAAAATGAAAGTTGTCAGCTAAGAAACGACCGAATTTGACCGCGTGTAAACGCACTTGACTTGACGAATTAGGCCTGTCGGTTCAGTTGAATGAATCGTTTGGAAAACACACTTTCGCAGTAATTTGGCCGTATAATTCCAAATAGTGTTTTCTTAATGGAAAGGAGCGATTGAACACACGCCGCACTGTAAACATGACAGCAATCAGCTCAGCTCAAAACATGTACACATCAAAACAGTGTTCAAGATGATGAGACATTTATCAAACTTACATTACTAAACAATTCCCCCAAATACAAGATTCAAACCATCTGTGTTAATAGCAGCGTTGTGCTCCTTCCACAACAGCATTGAGAATGACTTAAATTCCAAGTTCCTGAATATGATTTTTTTTTTTTGCATTGACATAAACAGCATGCAGAACTGAAAAATAACTAAAACAAATTTTAGCAAGAACAGCAAAGTTTGTCAACACAGATAGGTTGTATTTATTTATTTATCGTTATTTATAATAATAATAATAATTATTATTATTAGTATTATATCATCTAATGAATTAACTTTTGCAAAATGCATTATTGTGTTGAATTCATTTAAAATTCAGTGAAATTCCCGTAACAAATCTGAACTAAAAAAAAGCAAAGTTTGTCAACACAAATAGATTATTTACCATTTTAGATTGTGTTTAGTATATATTTTATTATTTTAAATAATTTTATAATTTTATTAATATTTTTGTAGTATTATATAAAATATTTATTTTATTATTTTTATGTATTATTTATTATAAAATCTGTATTACTATAATTATTATTATTATTAATTAACTTTTTTGTAAAATGCATTATTGTGTTGGATTATTTGGATAAGTAAAATTCTAATTTGAACTACAGAAGTGAATTTTGAGTGTTGGATTTGTTTGTGAACCAGAGTGGAAGAACACTTCATTTCCCAGAATGCATTATTGTGTTGAATTTATTATTTCAATGGAGTTTCTATATAAAAAAGCAAAGTTTGTCAAGACATTTTAATTGTTGGATTAAAAAAAAAAAAAAACCTTGGCCTTAAAGATATACATGCATTAATGTAAGTATACATAGAGAAGTATAGAAGTCATATTCAATAAATTAACTTAAGGATCAGAGTGGAATAACACTTAATCTCCCAGAATGCATTACTTGTGTACATTTTCTCTGAATTACAATTCAGTGACTTCCTCTTCCTGTCATTCCAGTTCAACTTCCTGTGTGTTGTGGCTAGTACACTCATGAATTCAAAGGAAGCCACTTCTTTAATTCTGAATTTTGCATAACCATATTAATAACCCCTAGGTAGGCGTCTCACTAGTCTTAGAACAGTTAGTAACAGAGTTAGTATTTAAATAATGAATATTCATGAAGTTGTAACAAATGTTGGACGGTTTGTGTTGTGTTGTAGCGCATCACATGTAGGTCGTTTCATTTCGTTTGCTAACTGCATCACAGAAAAGCTCTGTAAATCATCACAGATCATGAATATGCAACGTTTATCAATCACTGCCTGTCATTACGGTCCGACCCTGATTTATGAAGCTCACATGTGATGTGATTATATACTCATGTGCTACTCTCCATAACAATACTGTGCCTTGCAAAAGAGTTTTTTTAGTTCATTATGTTTTAATGACAATCAGACAATAAGAACAAGAGGAAATTGTAAATGCAGAACTTCCTCAGGAGCAGAAACCCTTAGCAGACGTCTGGTTTCATAATGGTTTTCTTGTTGATAAAGCGCTTGGCGTGTCCTCGAATGGAAAGTACAGTCGAGTTTTAGCTTCAAACGCTAGAAATGAGATTTTGGGGCCAGTAGGAGGTTGATTTTTAGGGTCACAGATGCAAAGAAATTAAACTATTATGAGTTTCAGACTGGTGTGAGGCCTCGAACATGAAGTGAAAAATCACGCCTAAAATGTGGGCAGCCTGCACAGATCACGGCGTTTAGACCAGATTAAAACCGGACTCCATGCACACTGAGCAGTGGTGTCCAGAACCGCTGCTGCTTTCTGACTAAACGACTTGCATTAAAAAAGCCACATTAACTGCATTCAATTGTGTTCAATCTCTCAACTGCAGCGCTTTACTGTTAGACGTATTCACTGAGAATCACAATCGCCGCTGCGTTTCTCAAAGTCTTTCTCTCTGCTTGCAAACACTGACTCAATCATTTTTTGTCTAAATAGTGATTTACGTTAGACTGAGACTGTTTCTTTAGCATCACACAGTTTCATAATTAAGAAGCAACCGCCAGAAACCCTTCAAAAGTCTGATTAACTGCTGAGATGAAGCAGATACTGTACACACCGGAAGAGTGAGCAACTCTTAATTTCAGAGTTTATACTTATGTTTTAATCGCAGCCGCACTGGAGATACATGAAGTAAAGCAGCAGGATTTGAGCATCAGCAGCTTGTCACATGATAGTCTGAAGAAAGTCACATGATCAATTATACGTGTTTACTTGCATATGATTTACTATTTGATTACTCGCATAGAAATAATGCAGAGTCATTAAAGGGGTCATATGATGCGATTTCAATTGTTCCTTTCTCTTTGGAGTGTTACAAGCTCTTGGTGCATAAAGAAGATCTGTAAAGTTGCAAAGACTAAAGTCTCAAATCCAAAGAGATATTCTTTATAAAAGTTAAGAGTCAGCCACGCCTACCTATTTTTTATATTTGATATCTATAATTATCTTTATAAAAGTTTTTAAATAATATTCAAAAGTAACTTTAAAACAATAATATAAAACAATAATAAATAATATGAAACATTAAGCAAGGTAATATTAAATAAAACAACAACAATAAAAAATACATTAAAATGTATTTATTTTACAATTCAAAATTCATTTTATATATATAT